CCCATTAGCAAAACTGTGAATCAAGGATGGGGTAGGGGTACTTGCCTCTTACCACTGGGGTCTCGGCTTTGATTCTTGGTCTCAACATCATTATTTATCTCTCTCTTAATTACTGCGTTTTTCTCCCGGTTCTTCGGTTTTCTACCCTCCTCAAAATCTCACGCGCTAAAATATAGTTSAATCTGCGAGATAATCGTGTCCTGATTTGATTACGTTAGCCTCCTAAGTTCTTAGGGTCTGTCACGCACAACATTGCGTGACAGACCCTAAAGACGGCTGTGTAGGACCCGACACTAATCTGTCTGTCTATCACGCAACATTGCGTGACAGACCMTAAGGATGGCTGTGTAGGAGCCGACACTAATCTGTCTGTCTATCACGCAACATTGCGTGACAGACCCTAAGGACGGCTGTGTAGGAGCCGACACTAATCTGTCTGTCTATCACGCAACATTGCGTGACAGACCCTAAGGACGGCTGCGTAGGATCCTCAGCTTAAGGCCTGATGTATACAAAACTCTCACAACATGGAACTACAYTGACATACCCATTGCGTCCTTCAGGAAAGATACATCTATGCCAAGYTCAGAAAGAGATAGTAATGACTTCAGGTCGATGTTTGTATCGCTAGTGGCAGTTTTAGAGCAATCCTTGAAGCAAGAAAAAATCAAAAAATCGGTTTTTAGGCATAATGTTTTCTCTCTACTCATAGTGTAGAGACAGACAAACAAGCAAGCAAGCAAGCAAGCAAGCAAGCAAGCAAGCAAGCAAGCAAGCAACAATCAAACAATCAATACCTTTTTCTCTGCTTCTTGTTTTTCGGTTGTTTTTTCCGCTTCTGTTTTCATTTCTTGGTCCTGTTTTTCTGAAGTCTAAAACGAATTGGAGTCAAAAAATTAACACTAAGAAAGCCCGCGTATGTTCAATCTCCCCCTCCCTCCCCTCCCCCCTTAGAATAAATGCTCTGAAGTGTTCCATTCAGTCATTTTGTTACTACACAAATAYTCAATCCTTCCTCGCGTCCTAATTATTAATTCACTATGGCTTCTCTATGGCTTGAGTCTTTTTATATCGCTTGCGTTGAACCGCAAGGCATCAAGGTTCATATCGTACGTTTTTCRATAGCTGTACAATATCTAGTCGTAATAACAATTACGACACAGGAAACATCTGACCGTCACAATTTCTATTTATATATATATTTATAATAATTTKAGAAATAGTGACGTGCATAGCTATAATACCAGAAAGAAGAATGATTGTCGCCTGCCACGGCACTCTTGGGACGTTTGCAACCCATCAATCTGTCTGTTTTCATACTATCAATGATGTTATTTTTCATCTTTTTATTTGCAGGACCTCACTGAAAAACCCTATTATTATTATTATTATTATCAGTTATTATTATCATTATTATTATTATCATCATTATTATTATTATAGCCTTTCATTTCATGTAAAACTGAATTTATTTTTAATTCAAGTAGCCAATTTTAAATTACCTAGTTACCAGCGAGATTTGCAATTGTAAAACAAAAAGCATCAAAATAAAGTTTTCATTATTATTATTATTATTACTATAAATAGATATTTTTATTGAAAAAAATCATTATTATTATGACAGCAGTGTAAAACTTTTGTATGCCCCATACAAGTGACACAATAGGGCGCTAAACGTAACCTAAAGGCCAAATTAACCCTAATTAAATTCTAATTACAATTGTTAATAAATGACAATATAATAATAATAATAATAATAWTAWTATTATTATTATTATTATTATTATTATTATTATTATTATTATTATTTTATCCCACGTGAATCAATACAACGTAAATGTTTTGTAGGTTACCTTGGAGACAGCCTCGGCATCCTTTCTCTCCTCTACTTTGGCTTCTTCCAGAAGATTCGCTTTCTAAATCGAGCAAGGAAAAAAAATAGAAACACAAGTAATCTGGATGTACGTTTTATCAAACAAGGATACGAGGATTTGAACTCTTAAAACAGTCGATTAATACAAGTGCACAAACAGCCTGAGAACTATGGCGAATTTGTCTCCGCCACCGTAAACAACGGTTTCGAGTTAAGAGGACGCATTCAATGTTTTTATCTTTAGCACGAATGTCTCAAAGTGAATTTCGTATGGGTGGRAAATGAAAAATCCGTAGCCGAATTTTAGCCATACCGTATCTTTTAAAGCGGTTTTCGGGTGAGTGAGAAATAATACGGCAAATCCTTAGTCGTACCGTATCTTACTGTAGCCGTCAATACGCATTGTGATTGGGTGAATTACTTGAAGACAATGGGAAGCCATTTTGGTGTTATAGCATTTCGTACCGTCTAGTCAGGTTGTACTTTAACTGCAGGTACACGCTGTGATTGGATTAATTGCACGACAAAAATGTAAAAATAATTCGTTTCTTTGCTGTGATAAAAACAAACGTTGGCACCCATTTGAAAACCCATTTATTTATTTCATGGTATCACTCCTCCGCTATGCTCGGTAGCGTTTTTCCCTCACCTCTTTGACTTTTGCGACGTATTTGGAATGTGCGCCATCAGTCAGAACATCCAGCAGTTTATCCACCACCCCATGCGCAAACGATGAAGTATCTTTAACAAATTCCTGAATGCTGTAGAATCGAGTATACACCTATTTCAATAAACGTTATCATCGATAAAGGCAATAGGCAATAGGCGAAGAAACATAGGAGATAGATCATTCCAAGACCCAAGAACAGCTGGAATGACTTGCGTTTCTGCTTCGTCCAGAACCTGGAGCTGGAGCTTAGTTTTTATTGAGATTGATTCAATGTTCTTTGTATTTAACGAAACCATTTYCATGTCGGAATGACGCGATGACAACGTTTATTGAAATAGGTGTATATATCTGTTTCAAAAAAGGTTGTCGGTGCCAAAGGCGATAGKGAATAGGCGATAGGCAAAATGGCGATAKTAGGGAGGTCATTCCAAAATCCAAGAATGGGAGGAATGACTGGTTTCCTCTTCTTCTTATTTTTATCGTCACGAACCTTAGTGTTGAGATATTCGGTGTTGCTTATAGTAAACGCGCAAAATTGTACTAAAAGTCCTCGATAAATTGTTTTTTTTAACGTATGCCTATAATTCCTTTCCGTCTTGGAATGATCTATGGTCAATGACTACGACAGCCTCTTTTGTAATAGGTGTATGTGTAGTGCACCTGCATCCATCCGTCCGTCTGTCCGTCTTCG